CCACTCTCTTTCTGAACTCAGGCTTTTTATGGAAATCCTCAATTCCTGCACTCACTGTGATGAGATCCTCTTCAAGGAAGATGGCTCCTGGAGCCCGATGCAACCAAAGAGAGTAAAGCAAGAACCCTACTGGTCATCCTACAGCAGTATCGAGGGTAATGTGGAGGCTCCAAGTCTCAAGCTGGGTCCTGACTTTGATCAGTCAAGATAATAGTGCGCAGGACTGAAACCTCCTGAATGTTGTCTTTGCCCCATGTGTCATGTGGTCATTCAGGATGTGAGGGTTTGGGTTTGTAACACACTTACCCAGAGAGCAGCTTTAGCAGGAGGTATACAGGTGGGGAGGGGGGATCCTCTGGCTTTGCTGACAGTGATGTCTTCATGATTCCAGCCAGCACAATTTATAAGGAGCCACCATCACGAGGGAAGTACTGCTCCCAAAGCAGCCAGAATGCTGAGGTGATTGACCTGACATTAGACAGCTCATCAGATGAGGACGAAGTTCCAGTGAAGAGACATTGCCATGTTGTGACCCCTACAAACTTGCCCTCAGTCAACAAGCAGTAAGTGCCTTTTTTCAAAATCTCCTACAGTCTCGATACTGTACCTGGCCCCCCACATGCTGTTTCCTCCCCCTCAACCACGTACCCGGGTCCCCTATACGGGCACAAGTATCAGGGCCCTACACAGTTCCCGAGCTGTAGTTGTCTGTATGAAACTTTTCTCCTTTTTAATTTTGAACATTGACAGGTTGCTGAACCTTCACCAGCTCTCACCGATGCTTCAGAGTCCTGCAACAAACGTGGTTACGTCAGATTACCTCCCATCCCTCTCTATTCCAGAATACCAATTCTCCTACCAGATGCCTCCACTACCGTCTGACATTCAAGGTAACTTCATTCCAGCTCTTTTCCACCCATGCACCAGGCCCCTTGGCTGCCCATATCTGACTTTTTTTTGGTCTGATTTCCCTTACAGGTTTAGATTTATTTTCTTTCTTGCAAGCAGACAGTCAGGTGAGTACAACCGATGCTCCCTTCTACTTTGTGTGCTCCTGCTTTCTGTAGCTTGATGCTGGGATTGAAGCTGCATGTGCCTGCTTTATCAATTTTAGCCTCAACAAGCAGGTCAGCTGCAGTTAAGGCAGCTTCTAGTGTGTGCTTCTCTAATGCATGTGCGCAATAGTGAGGGGAAAAAATTGTGCGCACATTAGGAAGATCAAGGTTCTCAGTGTGAAGGTAATTTGGACTTTGGGGAGTGACTTATTCACCAGCTGCCTTCCTTCATACAGCTGGAATGATTTTTCATTTTCTCCTGAAGTGGCTCCAAATTTTGATCCTCAAAGTCATATGGCACAAAACAGACCCTTCGGTTCAATCCGTTCATGCCGACCAAGTTTCCTGAACTAAACTAGTCCCATTTGCCTGCATTTGACCTATATCCCTCTAATCCTATCCTATTCACGTACCTGTCCGAATGTCTTTTAAATGTTGTAACTACACCTGCATCTACCACTTTCTCTGGCATTCTGCATACAAACCACCCTTTGTGTGAAAAATTTGGCCCTTAAGTCCCTTTTAATCTTTCTCCTCTCACCTTAAACCTGTGCCCTCTGGTTTTGAACTCTCCTACCCAGGGAAAAGACTTTTGCTATTCACCTTATCTATGCCCTTCATGATTTTATAGAACCTCCTAATAGGTCACCCCTCAGCCTCCAACGCTCCAGTGAAAAAAAGTCCCAGCCGTTCCTTGTAATTCAAATCATCCAGTCCTGGTAATATCCTTGTAAATCATTTCTGCACCCTCTCCAATTTAATAATATCCTTCCCATAGCAGGGCACCTAGAACCATTCACTTTCTTCAAAAATGGCCTCACCAATGTTGTGCACAACCACAACATAACATCCAAATTCCTATATTCAGTGGTCTGACCAATGAAGGCAAGCATGCAAAATGCCATCTTAACCACCTGTCTACCTGTGAAGCAACTTTCAAGGAACTATGTACCTGCACCCCTAGGTGTGTCTGCTCAACAACACTCCCCAGGCTCCTACCAATAGCCATCCTGCCTTTGCAAAATGTTTCATTTTGGTAACATTTTTCTGCATAAAACTCCACCTGCCACCCCTCAGTCCCTTTTTAATCTTACATAACCAACTTGACTGTATGCTTAGTCAAGATGTTGTCTCAATTCTGATGTACACCAGGAGGTCTTTTAAAGTTTACACTAGCACCAGTTACTCCGGCTCAGGAATACTGGCTTGGATGCAGAGTAATGATCCTCTACACACCCCCAGGACAGGTACAGCATGGGTTAGATACTGAAAAGCTCCTTCGACACACTCATTATATAGCTCAGATTCTAAAAGCCAATAAACCGAGGGAGGTGCAGTCTGAATCATTGCAGGAGATTGGCAGAAGTTGGGTAGTTGGTTCCAGCATCTGGTCACTTGAGTATTTCTGTGGTTTTACATGTTGTCAATTTTGCCTGCAGCATTACGGTTCCGTTATCAGCAGCTCCTCTGAGGACCAGACTGCCATGCGATCATCGCTTAACCACTTCTTCCAGTTCACGTCCTCACCGCATTTCCTGGAACCTGTGGTTAGCTCAACGAGTGGAATACATGGCTCAGCCAACAGGAGTAGCAGCATTATCTCCAGCAGTGTACTGAGGGGCAGTCAGCACAGTCACCCTGAGACGACAGCTCTAAACAGTGGCAGCACAGTCAGTGCACCTGGCCCTAGCCATGGGTTAGATATTATCTCTTTAGATTAAGGAAACACCAATCAATCATGACCAAGAATGTTCTCCACTTTGAAAACTGCTGCAAACCTTGAATCTGAAGCCAGCTGGTCAGAGTGTTTCCTTTGTATTGGTCAGTAGTTTTTGACTAAATCCCTGGGTGATACAAGAGCACAAGGCACCCACCACCTGGGCCTGAATCCTGGAGCAAGCCTTCTGTTTAAAAACAGGCATTTTGTGGTGCTTCCTCCGTCGAGCTGAGGATCTGGCCTTGCCCCTTCCCACCTCTGTTTACCTACCCCATACAAAGAACAGCCCACAGTCAGAGATCTGGTGACATTAGCGTTAGAGTTGCACTTTGCTTGCATGCAGGCCCCTGTAATCAGCTGTCTGTGATTGTGTCCACAACGAAGCTGCTCCACATTTCAGCCAAAGGAGGGTTTCAGTTCTCAGTAAAGTTTTTGTAGGGAACCAAAGATTTAGAGTACAGGCCATACCAAAAGGAGTAAAGAATCAAAAAAAATTTTGTAAGATGAGATGAAATGAAATGAAATTTAAAGACTGGCATGGATTGTTGAGAAAAATTTGGATATGGGCAGCTTTGAACATTGTGAACTGCAAAAGGGAACTTAATTGAGATTTTCAGGGGTCTTGATGATGGTTACTGTGATTCCTTCTCTCCAGACCCAAACAGATATGAAGGCTAAGATTATCTCGCTCAAAGGAGGAATCCTGTTATTCCAGTCCTTGATCAACTAGGATTTCTAGAGGGGGTGGGTTGGCCTGGATTGAGGTTGGGGAGTGATGTAGGGACACGATAGGGAATTCTAAACATATTGCAAAGTGTTGTCACTTTTTAAAATATAACTTCCAATATATTTTATCAATGTAAAATCTTCCCTTTTTTAAAAGAATTATAGATGAACATTGTGTATAGAGAAAGCAAATGATCTATTTTCAGTTGCAGCTATTTTGTAAATACATATTATGAAAAACAAAACCAATTTGAAGAAGCAATTCCAAAGATTATTCTCTCTGGCAGGCCACTACTAGTGAGGATTAGATTCCTTGTGCCTGTTTACATGTGGATACCTCTATTCATCTGTTTTAAAGTTATTTTCTTCCATTACTGTTCAGTGAATAACCTCATTTTGAGACATGGTTGGGGAGCGGGGGAGGTGGAAATGATGTTTGATGCCTGTTGCGGATGATAAAGATCCAGAGTTGAAAGCTTCGCTGTTCTGGAGCTGACAGACAGACAGCCCTGCCTTGTCTCACATAATGGACCTGGTGAAGCTGTGGCAATAGGACAAAGGGAGTTTTGATATTATTTGCTGAACAGAATTCACAAGTTTTACTCTGTATTGATCCTATTACAATTAAAGGATGAGGAAATTGGGAATTGGAGGTGTAGTTATTTTCTGAACAATGATCTGGATTTTTGTTACTGTGAAAAATGTCAGGAGACTGGCCATTAGAGAAACTGAAGGATAGACTAAGTTTCAGATTTGAACGCCCACTTCTTATCCTCTCACTAGTTACTTGATGAAACTTGTACTGTTAAAGCTCACATATTGGACAAACCAATATGGGCTAGAAGCTGCAGAGATGGAAGAGTGACCCTCCCTCCTGCAAAGCTGACAAAGTAAGGACAAGGGCTTACAGTTTTGAAAAATTCTTGTGCAGGATGAGGGCAGTGCTGGCAAGACCATCCCAAATGCCACTGAACAAAGTGGCGATTTCCTTCCTAATAGTACATTAGGAGTTGGAATGCACTGCCTAAACAAAATTGAATGAATTCAGTTCAGGGCTGCAAGGTGAGTGGGACTGACTGAGTTGACCTTGTAAAGAGCTGACAAAGACATGATAGGCTGCATGGCCTTCGATTGTGATGTGCTCTGCCTTTTCACCCTCACTGACGTCACCTGTTAATCAAGCTTAGTCTTGAAACATACTCCGCAGCAGCCCCTCTGAGACAAAAAAAAGGCCAGGCTTTAGAACAGTGAAGAAATTTCTCCTATCCAGCCTGAATGGGAAATAGCCTCCCAGTAAGTGACCCCCAATAAGGCCTTGAAGTTACCCTGCTTCAGTGAGATGAAGATTCATTCATACAAATGCTGCAGCTTCTACTTCAAGCACTTTTCATGAGACTGTAAGAAGGGAGACAACCAATTTTTACACAGCAAGATCCCACATGCGGTAGTGTTAAAATCCTTGGCAATAGAGATTATCCGATCATTAATTTGGGATTGGTCACGTACGAACATGTTTAGAGAAGTATGTTATCCATTGCCAAATTAGCTGTCACATCCCCACTTGGTAAATGTTTGGGGGTAATATATCCTTATCCAGTTACTATATTGTGCTTCAGTGCACATCTAGTTAAAACAGCAGCCAAAAGGGCAAAAATATTCAGTTACACACAGGGTTATTGGTCCCTGACCATGGCTGGACAGTAAGAATTGATCTTGTATTGCCCACTTGCTGCATCAATGAGGTAATCGCTGATTGGCTGGCTGAAGCACCTCAGAAAGCTTCACATTAACGACAGTATGTCATTTATTAAATTAACTTGACAACATAGAACCTAAAACATTGGGATTTACACAGGCAGCTCATAAAACTGTCTTCTCCATTGTGCAGACTGCCACATTATCAACTCACTGCAGTATAACCACACGTTCAGTGAAACACTGAGGAACTATAGCTAGTCTCTGACAGGTTGATCTCATCACCGTTTGCTTGGCACCTCCTTCTCAATCCGAGTTGTGTTTATGTACGATTCCAGGATAAATATGGTCTCATCTACCTGATTCTCACTTGAATCCAACCTGGAAAAGAGCACAGATAAAGTCAGGATTCCATTCCAATCTTAACAGGCCGAATTGTTTCCCAGGAAATGTCTACCAGTGCTGGCTGCAGAAAAGCCAAGAGCTTTGGGATTGAAATTGTTCAGGCTGGAACTGCCTTAGAGATATTTTCTAGTCAACCTGTTCGGAGATGTTAAAACACTTTTGAAATAAGTGGTTCTTGATTCAGGACCTCCCGATCTAGACAGCCTTAAAGAGCCAATCTCTAGAATCTGTTTTTCCCATAGTACAATTTGCACAATCTAAGGTCTATGCTGGCTCTTTGATGAGGATATTGAATAGTAGTGGTCGCCTACTGTTTTTCCTCCCTGCATGAATCCAATTTCATTTTGCAGGATTATTATCGAATCTGCTTTCACTGCCCTATCAGGGCACTGCATCCCAAATCAGTTGTGTTGTCAGTTTGTGGTGGTATTTGGTGTGAAGGTCAGTGAGATCAGCATCTTGCCCAGTTGGATTCACACAGCCAATAGCCCACAGCCCTGTCCTGTCCTGTCCTGTCCTGTCCCACTGTAGCGGTGGCCACTCACATGTTGACGTTGTGTTTTAGTGTCTCCAGCTGCTGTTGCTCAGGAGCTGTGATCATCTCCTCGATCTCCTGGAGCTGCTGCTCCTCTGCACCAGTCGCCTGCATCGACGCCATGATGGCTTCAATTCTCTGGGACTTCTCCAGCAACCGCCTGAAAGGAGAACAGGGACTCACATGAATTACAAAACAGACCAGAGACAGAGACCACAGATACCAGGCAGCCCATCCGCTCAGTGCATGCTCTCCAATTCATCGAGAACGATACAAACTATTCACAGCTTTGGAGTCAAAATGATCGAGAAGTAATTACCTCTCGTGAAACCATCTGACTTTCCCGTTTCAGCTCATCAGATGCTGAAGCTCTCATTGTAGTCCATTTAACTCCTCTACATGACTATTCCAGTACATTCCTGGCTGGCCCCTCATCCACAGCTTTACTGCATGTTCCTAATTTCTAACATGATCTGTTCACCCATAACCCTGTGGAATCACTTACTGATACTGAGCCCCAATTAAGTAACATCTCAATTTTACAATTCTTGTTTTTGTATTTAAATACCTCCATGACCTCCCTATCTCTGTGCTCCTCCACTTCTGGCCTCTTGAATGGATTTCCATCTCTCCAGCTTTGGTGCCAGGGTCCCTGAGCTCTGTAAATCCCTCCAGGAAACACTGATTTAACTTGCTGCTTAAAATTAACCTTTTGGAGTGAAATTTTGGTCATCTGTCTCCAATGTCCAGGACATTATGGGCCAATTTAGCATGGCAAATCCACCTAACTTGCACATCTTTGGACTGTAAGAGGAAACCAGAGCACCCAGTGAACCCCACACAGACACAGGGAGAACACGCAAACTCCACAGAGTCACCTAAGGCTGGAATCAAACCGGATACCTGGCACTATGAGGCAGGTAAATGTGATTCAAATACTGAGTGATGGGTACACAGTGCGATTATTTGGGCTGAATGGCTCACTTGTGTCTTGTACCATCCAAATGCTCAGAGACCCCATTTTCTCGTTTTTCTTTCCAGTTTCTCTAGCTTCAATATCTTTCCCAAAACAGACACAATAAAGCAATAAACTGGCTACTGAAAACTCTGGGCACTATCAAAATGGAGGTGAAGCCTCCCTTGATCACATTAAGTCTCAAGTGAAGCTCTCTCATAGAATCCCCACAGTGTGAAAACAGGCCATTCAGCCCAACAAATCCACAGAGACTTCCTGAAGAGCATCCCACCCAGACTCATCCCCCTACCCTATTCCATTTCCCATAGTTTACACACCTGACCTACACATCCCTGAACACAACTGACAATTTAGCACTGCCAAACCACCTAACTTGCACGTGTTTGAACTGTGGGAGGGAACCAGAGCACCCGAAGGAAACCCACACAGACACGGGGAGAATTTGCGAACTCCACACAGACAGTCACCCGAGGCTGGAATCGTACCCGGGTCCCTGGTGCCGTGAGGTAGCAGTGCTAACCACTGAGCCACCGTGCCACCCCTCCTTCTTAGTACTACCTGAAGTCCTTCAAAACTGCAACTGGGATGGCAGCTAACACCACTTCCTCCAGTTCTCAATGTCCTCCATCACACTCAAACACCCCAGCACAGCCTGTGAGCCAGCCCAGTCACCAACATTTTGATAGCTCCTGACCTTGCTGATCCCAGCCTCAGAAACACATAGTCCCCAGCATACCGAACCTCAGGCATAATTCGCTGATCCTCACTCACTTGTTCTCTCGGGTTTCGTACTCTCGACGATCGATCAGGTTGACCACAGTCTGAAATAAATTGTAAAACATACCAAGTGATTTTCCAAGAGTCAGCTTCCTCCTCATGTATCTCTGCCTGTGGATTTCACCACACCACACCAACTTGTGAAATGACCCACAGCAGAATGTGAGGGATAAGGAGGAAGTGGGGTAGGGAGCTGAGATTAGACGCCAGACAAAGCTTGAACAATACCATGACCATTCAGAGACCACAGATACATACAGCACAAACTTTTAACCCTTTAGTAAACTTATAACAGCAGCTAAGTGAAAGGTAAAATCAAAACTACACAGGAAGGAAAGCAGTTACAGGCTGGAATCTGATCAGAGGGTTAGGTTGGTGTGGGGTTTTATTTATATTAGAGATACGCAACAGTAAGTTACAGACTGGACTCCAATCAAAGGATTCAGGGAGGGGGTGGTTTCTATTTGGAATAACATACCTGAAAGTAGTTACAGACTGGAATTTAATTGAGAAGTTCAATGGATAATATATAAAATAACAGATACCTAGGAGTGAGTTATAGACTGGAATCTAACTACGTAGAGATTATAGATTTGTTGTTATGGTTACCTTGTAGCACCGCTGTAGAATCATGCGAGCTGTTGGCAGTAAATTGACTGTGTACAGATAGAAGGTTCTAGAGGGGGCATGATCTGGTGTTTTAGGAATTTCCTGGAAAATAAAAACATGAGATTGAATCAAAATTGGAAATGAATCTGTTCACTCCTGAGCAGTAGGAGACAAAAGCAGTCAGGGAGGGTCAGATCCTAGCCTGGGATCAAAGCCAAAGAGACTGTGGATGGAGAGACAGAGAGGGAACCAGGGAGGTTGGGGAAAGGTGTAGAGAGACAGAGAGAGGATGTTAGGGGAGACAGTTAGGAGGGGGCACAGAGCAGGGTTTGGAGGTTAGAGGGGCAGGGAGCAGAAGGGAGAGAGGATTGAGGAGAGAGAGGGGGATGATGGTGGAAGAGGGGTAGGGAAGATAACAAAAGGGTGGGGGGTGATGACCGGGGCAGGAACGGATGGTTATGGATAGGATGAAGGGAGTATTACAGGAAGGACAGGAGAGACAGAGGACCAAGCAGCGGGTGGATGAAGTATAGTGAAGGCAATGGGCAATCTAGAGGATTCCATACCTGAAGGGAGATATAGTTCTCTGATAGCATTCGATACATCATCTCCTTGGCCTCTTTGGCAGGAACCATCGCAAAATCTTCAACTTGTTTCTGCTCCAAGTGTCGTTTGCGGAAAAGTAGTCGGAAAATTCGAGCTGACCGTGACCCAAACCTGAGAGGAGGGCATAGAGAGAGCAACTCCAGTCCATTTGTAATATGGAATCACATTGAACCACAACATTCTATGGTACTGCAGACAAACTGTGGCTTGTTACAGTATACTGAGCAAATAGCATCATATTACCAAGGCAGCACATTGCTCAGTACCTTTCAGAGTTCGCCTCTCCACCTGGTCATTGCAGATAGAGATATATCACATCGGCTTCAGCTGACGATCACTGTACGGTTCAAAGCTCAGACAGAATTACCACACAGGAGGCCGTTTCTCATACTGGGTCTACAGTAGTTTTCCAATTGCCACTATAGCTCAGGACCACGTTGGTGCCCTTTGTCAGTCATCATTCAAGTAATCAGCTCATACCCTCCTGTGTTTGCTGCCTCCACCCTTACAGCTAGTGCAGGATACATGGATAAGGACAAATAGCATTGATGTTACAGGCTGAATGGCCTGTTAGGAACCCACTTACCTTTCCTGTACGACAGACTCCACTGTGGCTCGTGCAAGTGAAGCAAGGGCACGGTGAATGTCAGTGATCCTGTTAAGGCATCTACACAACAAATAGAGGCAGCACAGATTGTCAACATACCTCCAGGAAATCAAGACAGAACTCCTTTCTCTTTCTTGGGGAGTACACTGACTGTGTCTCTCAGTTCCCCCTCTCTTTCTCAGAGAGATATCTGTACACTGACTGTGTCTGTCAGGCCCCCCTCTCTTTCTCAGAGAGATATCTGTACACTGACTGTGTCTGTCAGGCCCCCCTCTCT